AAAAAAAAAAAAAACCCTACTGGGTTGGGACGTTGGAAGGTGATGCTGGGAAAGAGGTTTGGTCTCTGCCCTCAAAGAGCCTGTAATGCTGGGTGAAGCAGAGCCAGACCTCCGTAACAGGTGTACGGAGAGAGAAGGAGCAAGGATGTGGAAATAACTCATTCTGTTCTCAGGCACAGGTTGTGATGACGCCTGGACTGTATCTTGAATGAAAAATAGTTTACCCACTAGACTAAGGAAGAAGGAGGAAGGGTGACAGAAGACAGAATGGGCAGGAGGGACAATGCAAGCCAGGGTGGAGAGACATGAAATATGTGGGTGATTCTGGTCATGAGCCTTGGGCTGGGTCTCTCCGAGTTTGATTCTGCTCACGGGCCTTGGGCTGGGTCTCTCCAATTTCTCTGCCAACACGTTCACAAGACCTTTCTTAGGGTGCATCACCTCTACAGATGTGCATCTCATCTTTTATGTCTTGAGTTTTCACTGTTTCAATTCCAAAGACAGAATTTCCCTGAGCCTGTTAACACTGCTAGGTAAGGACCGAAGTTGATAATATTACTATTCCTGGAAAAATGTTCCTTAGTGACAGTTCCAGGCCCCATTGTTGACTCCTCCTCCAGGTGTGTGCCTTTAGGAGCCCTTACTTGTAAGGACTTATTCTTTTTTGCTGACATTCGGAGCATTTACAAGATTGCATTATAAAAACTTTCTGGTTTTTTGTTTTTTTGAGACAGAGTCTCAATCTGTGCCCTGGATAGAGTGGGGTGGTGTCACAGCTCACAGCAACATCAGACTCCTGGGCTCAAACAATCCTTTTGCCTCAGTCTCCCAAGTAGCTGGGACCATATGCACCTGCCACAACACCTGGCTATTTTTAGAGATGGGGTGTTGCTCTTGCTCAGACTGGTCTTGAACTCATGAGTACAAGCAATCCACCTGCCTCAGCCTCCCAGAGAGCTGGTATTACAGCCGTGAACCATCAGGCCCAGACCTTGGTTAGTTTTAAGCTACATGTTTCTAGTTAAGGGCAGGTTTGTCAGTTTCTGGCTGGCTGTTTCAGTTCATGGCCTCGGGGCAATGCCAGTAATCTAGCCTGAGTCTCTTTTTGGTTCTAGTAGACTACTCCCTGATTAAATCTGACTGTATGAAGTTGCTGTCCTTCTCTAGGACAGAACAAAGGGTACATATTTCCTTAGAGGCTTTATCAATAATATTACTTGGCCTGGGAATTGAATGAGATCCTAATGGGATTTTAACCAAATATTTTTTCCCTGGAATCTGTGAGTGACTATGATCCTTAGCCTACATGCATTGTACTGTCACTTGGCTGGTTGGAACTATACCACTTCCTGGCAACTTCTTTTACATTGAAGGCCAGGGTCAGTGGCTGGTGCCTGTAATTCCAGCACTTTGGGAAGCCAAGGCAGGAGGTTCACTTGAGGACAGGATCAGAGATGAGCCTAGGGAATATTGTAAGGCTTTGTCTTAAACAAATACTATGGCTCAGCACCTGTAGCTCAAGCAGCTAAGGTACTAGCCACATACACCAGAACTGGTGGGTTCAAATCCAGCCTGAGTCTGCCAAACAACCAAAAAATAGCCGGGCGTTGTGGCGGATGCCTGCAGTCCCAGCTACTTGGGGGGCTGAGGCAAGACAATCGCTTAAGCCCAGGAGTTGGAGGTTGCTATGGTCTGTGATACCACAGCACTCTACCCAGGGCAACAGCTTGAGGCTCTGTCTCAAAAAAAAAAATACTAAATTAAATTAAATTGCAATAAGCTAGGTATTCAGGAGGCTATATTCAGCAGATCCCTTGAGCCTATGAGTTTGAGGCTACAGGCTATAATCGCACCACTGCACTCCAGCCTGGGTGACAGTGGAAACCTTGTCTCTAAGAAAGAAAGACAGTTAGATTGAGTTTTGCACATACCTTGAAGGCTGTTCCAAATCCAAGCACCATCTGTAAGGACCTGGAAGTGCTGTTTTCTCTGCATCTGTTCTTGACTCACAGCTCTGCTGTTGCATGTATGAAATACCATTGATTTTTATCTCATTTCAGACTGTTCTATCCAGTGTGTGTAGCCATCAACCATTACCATTGTTATTAGCATTGGCCAAAGCCAAAGAAGTGAGTGGTCCATTTTATGGATGCTGTTTTCTTCACAGGACCCTGCCTCCTTGGCCGTGACTGATGGGGACTGAGTTAGAGTGCTGGACCTCCACGTCAATCTGGCCACGCAAGGCCAGTGCCGTGGCTCACACCTGTAATCCCAGTACTCCAGGAGGCTGAGGTGGGTGGATTGCATGATCTCAGGAGTTCAAGACCAGCCTGAACAAGAGCGAGACCCGGTCTCTACTAAAAATAGAAAAACTAGCCAGTGTTGTGGTGTGTGCCTCTAGTCCCAGCTACTCTGGAGGCTGAGGCAGGAGGATTGCTTGAGCTATGATGCTACAGCATTCAACCGCAACTTTGAACTTGCTTGAGCTATGATGCCACAGCATTCAACCCCAAGATGACAGAGTGCAGAATGAGACTTTCTAAAAAATAAAATAAAATAAATTTTAAAAATAAAAAACCCGGCCCTGCAAATGTGCTCATTATTTGGGGATTTTTTGAGCAATGTGATCTTTTCGCTTCTTTTGCTGCTGTGTCTGTTGCAAAGCAGTCAGTCACTGATTTTGAACTCTAGGTTTGATCTCCTTCCTAGTATTGCTAGCTGAGGTGGTGCTATGGTTTGAATGTGTCCCCCAAAAAGCTTGTGTTGGAAACTTAATCCCCAGTGCAACCTTGTCAGAGCAGGAGACAGGGAGTCAGGGCTGAGGCCAGATGCAAGGGCTTAAAAAGTGGGTGCAGATGTCAAAGTCTACCTAAGGGGGTTGATAACCACAGACAGGGACTAGCTAACTGGCTTGTCAGCTGTTTGGTCACCTCACACAAACTGGAGCTAATTACAGCATCATTTTCACTGTGGTTTTAAAATTCTCCACCCTTGACATTGCTGTGACAATTCCAAAACAACTCTATAAAGCATAAAAATGGGAGGGAACCCAACTAGAGGAATTGCTACCTGAATTCTTAATAAAAACTAACCCTGGGCACTGGCCCCATATGCCGGAGCTGGCGGGTTCAAACCCAGCCCCGGCCAAAAACTGCAACAAAACAAAAACTAACCCTGTGGATTGAACACTCTTCCCCTCAATCAGTGAAGCTTCATAAGGCCTGGAACCCCCCTCAGTGCAGCTGCCCTTTTCGATCCAGCCGCCCTCTAACTCTTGAGAATGTATCATTTAACTTTCACTTTCAGTAAAGGCTGCTTGCTTTTGGCTTACACGGGGCATCCTGAAATTTCTTCCTGGAAGATCACCAAGAACCTGAAAATACCTCCACTCAGAAGACAGTGCTGGGAGGTGAGGCCAAAGAGGTGTTTAGATCGTAAGGACTCTACCCACACGAACAGATTAATATCAATTGTAAAAGGGCTCGAGGCTTCAAATTTGATTTCTCAACTGCATACAAGAGTATACACCCCCCGCCCAGTCCTCCTTCTACCATGGGAGAGAACAAGAAGGTCCTTAAAAGATGCCAAGCAGGGTGGCGCCGGCAGCTCAGTTAGCAGGGCGCCAGCCACAGACACCCAGGCTGGAGGGTTCAAATCCAGCCTAGGTCTGCTAAACAACAATGACAACTGCAACAAAGAAATAGCCAGGCGTTGTGGTGGGTGCCTGTATTCCCAACTATTCGGGAGGCTGAGGCAAGAGAATCACTTAAGCCCAAGAGTTTGAGGTTGCTGTGAGCTGTGATGTCACAGCACTCAACCCAGGTGACACCTTGAGACTCTGTCTCAAAAAAAAAAAAAGATGCTAAGCAGATGCTGGCACTATGCTCTTGGACTTCCCAGCCTCCCAAATCATGAGTCAGATGGGCTTGGTCCCTGTAGCTCAGCAGCTAAGGGCACTGGCCACATAGCCAGAGCTCCCAAGTTCAAATCCACCCTGGGCCTGCCAAACAA